TAAAATTCTAGCACGTGTAAATGTTTGTTTGATAAATTGAAATAATTCTAATGTCAACATCTCTTCATCAGAACCCACATAAAATTTAATTCTCTTCACTTTAGACATTGTTGAGGAGAGTGTTGTTGTTGACAGTTGTTGATCACCACGATCAACAGTGTCTCTGAAAATTAGAATGTGTCGAGATAATCTTGAACCCTTGTTTATTCTTCTCCTACGTCTTTTCACAGAATGCACAATCCCTCCCAAAAGATAAGGTCAGCAGGGAAACGAATGTTATATGTTTGGCGAAAATGCCGTATTATTGGAGCCTATTATACGCTTTTAAATTAATGATCTCGGTTAGAAAATGCATTTCAACGTTTTTCTAGTACATTCAATGTTTTCTACACGATTTAATTTCGTATTGCTCTTGCAATTGCTGATTACAACGGGACCCTGTCAGATGTTAGTCTTTGACGTGAATGGAAGAAAAATAAAGGGTGCCACTTACTTGCCTGTAGTTGTTGTTGCTATTATTCGTGGTTTGTTCAAACGATAATTAACAATATTATTAGAAATAGAACGAAAATAATCATAATGATAGGGTAATGTTGCAATAAAAAAATAGTCTTTTTCAATATGTTCATAAAAAAATATTGTTCGTTCTAACCAGTAGGGTGTCTGATATGTTTTTATAATTTCATTTAAATCAATTGTGCAAGGTAATGTTTTAATATCTTTATGGTTTTGATAAGGATACAAAGTAAAACAAAAATGGAATGATTTTAATTTTAATAATTGTGATAACAGTTCTTGATGTAAATAATGTCCATTAATGAGTCGGACATCTGTATGGCATTTTATACGTAACGATAAATATTCTAATGTTAAAGAAAATTGTTTGATTAAAAATGTTAACTCTTCAAAATCTTCTATCAAACCATGTAAAGAAAATCTTTTCAAATGTTTTGTAATTGGTTTTGTTCCAAAATTTTCACCTTCATAAGTGCCAAATGGAGTATGAGATATATCAATATGTATGGATTCTAATTGTAATAAATTTTCAAATAAAATAAAGGTTTGATATAAACAAAATAATGCTATGTGTAAATGTTTAATATAGAAATTTTGTGTAATTCGTGGAAAATAATCATCACGCGATGGCGAAATATGATTACTATCAATGTGAAGTGTTTCCAAATGTGTATTATGTTGAAATAGTTGTATATATAAATTTTGATGAATATCACATGTAAATATTAATATTAATGTTGACTGATGTAAAATTTTAAATTGTTCTATATACATTTTTATATCATCGTTGTGCGTATCATCAATTTCTGTGAAAATGATTGTATGAAGTTTAGGATATAACAAAGGAATATTTTGTGATAATGATGATGGTTGACCAAATAATATTGCTAAATGTTGTTCTTCAAATTTTAATTTATTTATACAAGGTTGTGTAATATGTAAGTATTTTTTTATCCATGTTTGATCAACCTGAGTTATATCAATTTCATTTATATGTTTATGAGAGAATATTAAATTATTTATTCTTGCATTCAGATTAAAAAATATTTCAATAATTTCTGTTGATTTTAAATAAATAAAAATAAAAAGAAGAAGTTCATTGGGTAATAGTAAAAATGTTGATTTTGAACATGAAGATGGTGATTCTGCTGGTGTTGTTGTTGAATCTTAAATTCAACGTGTACGAATTATACGTCTTTCACAAAAATGACGATTGTAAAGGTTGAGACAAGAGTCAAGACGCCATTTCGATGAAATCAAATTTCGTTCTCTCGAAAAAAAGTAATTCAATGCTCCGGTTTACTAGTGTTTTTAAGTACAACTAACAGATTTGTCGATCTCTGATCTGCTTCAATCATATACAACTGAAAATTGATCCAAAGTAGTATTCCCCTCAGTCACTTTCCTTAGAAAGATTAATGTTGTCGGGAAGAAAAACACTTTGAGCAAGTATTATTGATTCTTTTGACAGGCGAAAGCAAACACATTCCCATTTCATCCTATTTATGTCGCAAAGTCGGCCAGTTACATGTCGTTGGGGAGGCGTCAACAATAGCACTTAAACTTAAAATGTATTCAAGCATAAATGGAAACAAAAACAGTGGATGTTCAAAATTCTGTCTGAAACAGAGCCCTGCAGATTGCCACCTATAACCTATAGGTTATCCCAA